TTTTACGTATACCTTGCAAAATGATATGGTGACCGGCCAAAAGCGGTAGTCCTTCAGGTTCCCGAAACCCTGCGAATCGATAACATTATTCATGCGAAGCTGACAAACCCTGCAAAACGATAAGGTGACCGTCCAAAAGCGATAAGAACTATGAACACTGGAAGGGCTGGAGTTTTGCCGATGGCTCTGTCAGAGTCACCAGTTTGGTGTTTGGAAGCTAGGCGCCAAGGAAAAGCAACCAAGGTGATGCTGCCAGTGACAGGTGAGATCACTGTTTTGCTTATGCACATTTGGGTGCAAGTCGCTTCTGCTGCATTCTGGATTGCCAGGACAGGTCCACGGGGTGGGGACCCCGTGCGAGTCGTTGTGGCAGTGTCCTGCTCTTTTCTGGTTGTTTTTCCGACGCTTGCACATGCAGCGTGGCAGAAGCACAGTGCAAGCGAGGCGTTGCAGCAAAGGCTGGCCCAGTTTGACCTTACAACAGTGCAGTGCGCCAACGATTTTGACAAGAACTGCATCCATGAAGCCATCATAACTTGGTATGGCAGCTTACAGGCTTTCACTGATCACATACGTGGACCGTTCCGGCTGGAAGTCATACGACTCCTGCGGGCAGAAGGAACTATTCCGATCCACTGGATCTCCCTGTTGCTGATTCCAATCTTGAACTTGTCCTTCGAAGGACTTCTCGCTCTGTGGAAAGCAAGTGCGCCCTCGGTGTCTTTTCTTACGTATTTCATGGCTCAGGCAACGGTGCGGCGTTTTGAAGAAGATTTTCGATTCTCATAATTGCCTGTTGAAACATGAACCGCATAATGATTTCCTGCCTGCAAGCGAAGCGCCAGGCAGGAGGTGAAAGATAAATGTAAAACAGTTCCTGGGCAACAGGACAAAACAACAACCCAGGTAATAGGGGTGATTGTCCTTTGGCTTCCGTCCGTGGGACTCTTCGGTGTCTATGCCAGCGTTCACGGAGTGCGGTACGGACATTGGAGGCTCAGGCCCTTCATGCTGGTGTCTGGGCAAGATTTTTTTTTCGATTTGGTTCTATTCTTTATATAAGTAAGATCAAGTAAGTATACCACAAACCCGACAAACACAAGGACCAGCTTAGGAAACAATGTGTTCGAGCTGTCACGTCCAGTTGAGGAATTCTTCCTCGTCTTTTGCCTTTGCGCTGTTCTCTTTATAGCTGGGATGTCCTTTTCTGCTGCTTGATCCAACAGCAAGTTTGCAGATGTCGTCCTGTATTATGTCATCCCTCTTTCAGGAAATCCCTGGCAGTCGAATCTGTGATAGGAACAGTTCTTCCAGTGTGCCAAATCGTAAGATACATGATTTAGGCCGCGTGTACCAAACCTGAAACCTGGAACCCCTGACCCCGGACCCCAATTTGAGTCCAGCGGAGTGGTTGGGCAAGTTGAGCTGCATCTACGATTCTACGTAGGTTATGATTACCCTGGCCTCCAATGCACAGAAAGCCGCCTGCACCCCTCCCAAAGCCCTAGGTCATTGTTACGGCTCGCAGCGTCTGGCTTGTGATGCTGCTGGGACTCTTTTTGACTCACCAAATGTCTTAGTGTGTAAGATGTACCTCCTCGTAAAATTGAACACACCTCCGCCCCATGGAGTGTTTTATGTTTAGGCTGGGAATGTGTTTAAGAAAAGCGGCAGGTGGCTCATTGCCGAGGAACTGCTGCAGCTAAACTTTGAAGCCTCTTAGATCTTATCCTATGCGTATCACCTTAAGTTATAGGCCTTAGCATGATGCCTCTCTTGAAAACGGTGGAGTCCTCAGAGCTAGACCCTGCAAAAAAGTTTAGGGATATTTAGGGCACAGAAAATGTTCTGTGCTTCTACTCCAGACAGATTGTATTGATACTCGCCGCACTCTGGCGTGCTCGAAATGTCGATCCTTCCCAAATCCCGCGCCCCCCATGCCCCCTCTCAATTACGATTTCTGCATCACCCTGCCCCACATGAAGCCCGCGCACGCTTTTGTGGAATTTGCGCAGGTAAATATGAGGGTATGAAGCGGCTCTCCCGCAGACATCCTACCTTCAATATCCAAGGGTCCCCATGTTCTCATCCAAAATTGCCATGCGTTTGGTTTGAGAGAGGTCTGAAGTAGTAATCCTTCGCCCTAATATTAAACCTCGGCCCCCCCCGTAATGGTACACAGATACATGCAGCCATGCATACATGCATACATACATACAAAACCATCCGGACCCCGAAAATTAACCTGGGGGGTTTTATTGAAAGAATTATATACGGCTGCCTCTAAGAACGTTTTCAACCCTTTGTAGTCTAGCGAAGATCAACTGAGAGTAATTAAGCTAAAACCTGTTTAGCCGTGAAAATGAAAATCTGGTTATGATCTCACCAAACTTGATTCTAAGTAAATTCTTTGAGTCAGATGAAGTCTAAGAACATCTACTTGAGATCAGTGAAAATCGAAGCTTAAAAAATTGAAGCCGCGTTTGAGTTTTCTGTAAGTTCCTGTACAGCAAACTGTCTAAACGCCTTGTCTATGACCCGCCTAAAGACCTCTGAACCACCCCCTCAATTCATCATTCGGTGGCTCATTGAAATTCGTGTTCCTTAAAAAGGGCTCTTCAGGAATTTTTAGGTTTCTAGATATGTGTTTTAGTATTGCAGGGGTTTCAATATACATATATATATATATATATTAGGGGGAACGGATTAGGTTGTCAAGACTGGTCCCTTTTGGGGTCCCTAGTGTACTAGAATTAAAGCCCCATAATATTTCACATAATTAGGGTACCCAAAAGGAGATCACAATTTGGACAACCCCCCAAATCAGGGCAGCCCAATGGATTGCACGTAAGAGATCTGTGAGCGAACATTGCGCATGTGCACTTGGATGTTCATGGTATCTGCAAGTTGCGCAGCACTCTAGCTACGCGTGTGTTTATCCTAAGCGTTAGTTTTGTCAGCCTGTAGGGAACCCATGAAAATTTGCTGAACTAGTAGGTCACGCGCCAGTTTTTGCAGAAGCCCCCATAACCCTCAACTGCACGACCTCAAGCCCAACAGGAACCACACGCCTTGTGCCACGTGAGCTCCGAAAGCCTGAGCCTAAAAGCCCAAACCCTTAGCCCAGAACTATAAATCCCAAGGCCAACTGGAATGACCCACACGTTACCCTCCCCAGACAAACATGTAGCCTTCATACGTAGACCCCTTAACACGGGACAGTGGGCTTGGGGAAGGGTAAGGTACATCAGGTACATCCCTAAGCCATCTCAATGCACGCCCCCGGCATAGTCTACGGAATCCTTCCGTAAAGCCAAACCCTTAAAACCTAAACCTAAAGAATGCTGCCGTTTTAAGTTTAAATGTTCGTTATCATTGCTTGGCGCCTTAGCTAAACCCGACACCCAAAACCCTAAACCTAACTAGTAGTTCCCATTTCCTTTTCCATATCCCTGTATAACCCCTACATATATATAACCCCATATAACCCCTTTATAACCCTATCTAACCCCATATAACCCCTACATAACCCCATATGATCCCTATATAACCCTATCATATAGTTTCCCTGTGATGGTAAAAGCAAGGCTCTGGGATGCAGTCGCATTCGCCTTCGCGGCTCTCGCCTGGACTTGCTGCTGGAAGCCATGGCCTGATCCTAGGGCTCCCGGGCCGTAGTGGCCATGTGTAGTCTAGGTTTACATAGAGGTTTGGTGGTTGAAGGTTTTTTAAGCGGCTTCCTCAGTATATTTCTCACTGCTGTATGCCACGTAATACCCTAAGCTCACTCTACACCCTAAACCGTAATCTACACCCTAAACCCATCTCTACACAAAACCTTACTTATCACCTCTACTACCCAGAGCCTTCTTTAAACTCCACATCCGAAACCCTTTCTCACCCTTGGAGTGTCAGGGGAAAGGATCCAACAATCCAAAAGGGTAAAGTGGGCGTAGGCGATCAAGAGCGCAAACCGTTCCTTGACCTAGAACCTCAACCTTCCACGCATACTGCACTTAGGGTTACCATCCCGGACCTGTAAATATGCAACATTGCTTACAAGAGAAATAGCAGTAAAGCATCCGGGGCCCTCTAATGTTTTTGTTCTGCTCATAATTCCTTATTCCTTACTATAACCCCAATATATACACCACTATAAATGCAGTAGTTTCCATTTTCTTTTCCATTAAGTATTCCCAATATAACCCAGATTTAAGCTTCTTCCCTGTTTTCGTTGCCCTTCACTAGCTCCTGAAGCCTTGATCCAAATCTGACACCAAGCCCCTCAACCTGCCTCTCCCTCCTTCTGTTACTGTGGGGCATATAGGGGGCATATAGGGATAATGGAAGAGAAAATAGAAACTATTACATTACAATAGCGCATACATTTGTGTTAGTTAGTTAATGAGGGCATATAAGTCTTCTGGCCCCACAGAATAGGTGAGATCTGAAGGTAGAGAAAATGTTTTGGGTGGCGGCGGCGGCAAAGGTGGTGAATTCTCTTGAATTCTTAAGGATTGCCAGTCCCTGCGATTCTTCTGTAGAGCTTTGAGAACCCATATGGCTCAGTGTACCTGACATATCTCGGCTTATCGAAGATTTTTGCTACTGATAGCTGGTTCGGCTGGCGGAGAGATGCCCCACGCGGAGTTTTGGCCCGCTAAGGCTACAATCGACTACAATGAGGGCTGAAGGGGTTGACAGGGGTTGTTGATCTACAGGGTCTCTTCTAAAGCGGATGTCTCAATCCAGGTTGACTTGCATAGACAGTGCGTGGAAGCGGGCAGCTGTGTCTGTAACTTCTTGATTGGGATCTGGCCTGGCCTAGAGCCCCTATCCTTTCACCTTTCACATGCGGTTTCACTGAGTTATTGCCCGAATGGGCTCGGAGACACATTTCCTCGGTCATTCCAGGCCCTTCCACCTATGGCTCCCCGTGTACGTACCAGTACGGACTCACTCGTTTGCTCGACCCTCAAACTGGATATGTCCAACTCGGGACATGTAGCATGATAAGCCTGCTCGCTCGTTGTTTGCCCCTGTCCTAGTGTTCGTGAGCAACCTGTGGGCAGCAACCTCAGGTATATTAGAATGAACGTTTACGTGCTGTCAAAGCAGCTACAATCATATGCCAAAGTCGCATAAGCAGAGCAAAAATCATGGGAAAGGTGGTTGAGAGCCTAGCCATGTGCAATTACAGCGTCTGGAAAGTTCAGATCATCACCACAGCGATAAGCACCACATGACACCGAAGTCGCTGTGTTTATGGTCATTGTCGCCGAAAATTAACAAGAACCGCACATCCATGAAATTCAGATAACGCCACTGGCGCAAAAAAGAAGCAACAGATCCATGAAGTGCATCTGGCTTGTGCATTGGCATTCTGGAGGCGTCACCGCCTTTAGAGGTTGAAGATCTGTTCATATATATATATACACACACACATTTTTTTCCGGCATCCTTTTAGTTCAGGCTCTATGGCCAATCCCCTGAAAGTCAGGATGATTGTGTTTGGTGGAAACGTTTTTTAGTGCTTTTGAATTTCATGCTGTCCAAGCTCATGAGCCGCAAGGGCAGGGAAGAATGCTACATAGGTCCGGAGGGTGCTGTGGGGTGGTTAGATGAAGACAAGTGGTTCATCAACGTGTGATGATCAGATAGGGGACTTAAGGCTGCACTCTGCAGGAATGCTTGGCCGAAGGCACGGGGGGACTGGAATCGCACATTGAAGCAGCATGCAGGGCACGCAGGAGCACCTAAACTTGCCCCACAGGCTGAAAGAGGCGGGTGCTTCAAGATGTGGGCTGCGATCCGAAAATGCCAAGCACCAGCTTTCACATGGATGTTCGTGTATGTAGATATTTTTTGAATGTATATTTGCACAACTTCAGCAGCAGAGATGTAATTGGACTTGGACGAATTACTGTGGTACACGCACAGCCACAGACACATACACACGCATCGGCCAATCTTTCCTTCGGTCACAGATCCTAAAGCAGCCGGGCCTAAATAATGTGCTTTCAAAAGACCATTTATGTGTGACAGCATTGCTCCGATCGGTGGGCTGGCGATAAGGACCCGACCTGGCGAGACAAGATTTCTGTAAGGTTCTGTGAGTTATGTGGTGAGTTTTCCATTTGGGAGACCAGAACCAGCCCTAAACTGCTGGAGCGAGCCCCAGGCGAACAAAAAGCTACAAGTTAGCATCGTCCTTCATC